CATACAATACGGACTGGATATCTGACGAGGTGCGAATGTAGGAGGCGTATCCTGACCTGAACAATATTTTCCATGTCATTTTCCATAGTGCCCATCTAACCCTATTATATGAACCCTTGTCTCAAGAGATGGTTGCTAGCAAGACCACTCCACAAGGGGTCCAGCCTACAGCCTGCAACAAGGAACAGAAACTAAAGGTCTCGGGTTTAGGGACCCCTAAATCAAAATACGGAATGTGTTGTGCATCCCCTTAGAGGACCCTTTTGTTGAGGGGGGCGCGGGAGACGGTGCAAGTGCCGCAAATTCCCTGGGTTGCGTGCATGTTGTACATCCAAATCTACCCCTACATTATTCTTGTGCTTATTCAGGCGGTTTCCATCTTTCATCACCTATCAGCTTAAAACTCTATAGCTCCTCTACATAATCCCTTATATAACACCCTTTTTATGGAGTCTAGATAATGGCTCCTACATCCATAGTCCCTACAAGGAAGCTCAGGATTTGTCCCTGGCATCTCCCCTGGATGAGTTGCAGACAAGCCACGCCAGCTCACCCAAAGTGCGTGCGCTGAGCAATTTCAGCGAGGCAGTCCTTCGTGTTCAGGGAAACAAGAGTGGCATGGAAACACAAATAAACACACATATCTATATGTATAAGAATGAATAGGTATGCATATATACATATATTTATAGAGGATATATATGTATATATGTATATTATGTATACGCAGGGGCATGTAGGGTCTAGGGGGTTATTACCAAAAGCACGGGGAGTCCAATGGAAAAGAACATCGAGAATGAATCGGGAGCTGGGAGGATTTCGGGATGTAGCCAGTAATGGCTTAGGGAATAGAGCTAGGGCACACCTGAATCTAGGGACTTTCAGGATTTGAAGAGAGGTTTCCAAATGTCTTCAACCCTAAACCCTAAAGCCTAAACCCTAAACCCTAAAAGGTTTGAAGGCTTTAAGGTCAGGGCTTCAACATTTCGTGGCTGGGATGTTGCTGGCCGGGCTGGAATTTTGGAGCTAGGAAGCTGGGAAGCCACATATAGGCCAGGTGGTAACTATGCTCTCTTATGACCACCGTTATAGATAGCAGTATGTACAGTCGCTAGTGTTTCTTCATATACGTACCTAACCCTGAAATTCCAAATCCCAATATCCTCTCAAGTTCTATTTTCCATGTTTGTCCATTCGATTCTCCGTTCCAGGGAAAATGTCTCTGAATCTCATAAACCGTTCATATACCTCCATGAATCTCATATGCCCCTATACATCCCCAGGTAGCCTCATACGCCCCTACATACCTAGTTGGAGCGCCTTGAGGCGAGTCAAAACAAGGACGAGGAAGAGATGACGGTTGCTAGAATCTGCAACAGCAAAGCTTTCCGATGTATGTTTGTAGTTGGGGGTCTCCCTTTAAAAGGGAGATATAAAAGGATATGTAGGGATATATAGGGGTATATGGGGGTATATAGGGATATATAGGGATATATAGGGTTTAGGGGTCTCCCAAAATCAAGGGTACCAATTTGGCGTGCCCCACTACTTATAAGGATGATTGTATTTGGGGGTCTATGTTGCATCCTCCGATTTAGCGGAAGTACCAATTCATCTTCACTCGGGACTGCCCTCGTAACCCCAAAGGCGAGTAGGATGATGGCCGTGCGAGAGATCCACACAATTTGGCTGTTTCAAATTTGTCGCGCATTTTGTTTGTCTTTCCTTGGTTTTGAATGTGCTATCGTAGATAATGGCTGTTACTTACGCCCTTCCTTAACTGATGTGGAACGAAGGACAGCCACATCTTGCGATTTAGATCTTCTCAACATTACATATACTATATAGGTACTGTTAGCACTAGTCTTGCAATGCCCTTGTGTTGTGTTTGGGAAGTCTTGCGAATTCCCTCTAGAGCCTCCGGTTCGCACGAGTCAGCAGAGTTTTTGTCTCTTCCTTCTGTCCTCCCCCGTCAGACCAGTAATGGCTGTTGACCCTTGCTCCTACAGCAAATTGCACAACATGTACGTCGCAACGCTGTCTAGTTCCATTTTGCTTGCCATGATTCTCTTAGGTAGTGCCTACAAGCCCTGCCTCTACTCCCACCGGCAAACGTTCACGGGCGCTAGCGCGTGTCATGAACCAGAAGCCTGGACGCATCATTGGTCTACCCGTCAGGGTGAGGCTTCCCAAAGTGCGAAGACCATGTTTACCTGTGAGATTGGGTCTAAAGCTTCGAGTGTGTGAGGAATAGGTTCCAGAAAAATATTTCTTGGCTAAAGCAATGTAGCATGTGACAGGGCATTTCAGTGTCCGTCAACCCTAACCCTTTGCAATTGTATTCCGAGCGACTAAAAGGGGGACATGTCTGACTACCACACTGCTTGTTCTGCCCTAACCCTCCAGAGCCCAGGAACATAAATGAGGATCCTCCATTGAAGCGGTTCATCAAGGAGTCCTTGGATGCCTATATGGGCCTCGTGGTTGCTGCTTGCCCGTGCCAAACCCTGAACCCTAAACCCTATAAACCCTAAACCGTGTTGATTTTACTCTTTGAGTTGCCATTGTAGTGTCGTTTGTTTCGGAGGCGGCGATCCCGATAAAAGGCCCCCCCCTGAGGCCAGGGAACCATAGGTGCACTTGGCCATTTGGAACCCTAAGCCCTATTATATAGTAGTTTCCATTGTGTTTTCCATTCTCCCTATATAACCTCAATATAACCCTAATATATACCCTATTACAACATAGTAGTTTCCATTTTCTTTTCCATTATCGCTATAGAACCCCATATATAACCCTATAAATCCCCTCATGCACGGCTGAAGGGTTTGCTTGGTGGCCTGCGATGTGCCTTCTTGATGCGATCATGCTTCCGTCCAGCGACAGGGTCCATAGAGACGAATGCCAGTGGAAGAAGGGCTCCTTTCTACAAAAACACCTGCATGCTTCACCTTGGCCTATGGAGGGCAAGACTTCGAGGGTTAACAATGTGGGTATATGCTGGATAGTCCAGTTGTGAGTGGTGAGGTCCCTCCACGAAGGGCCCTATGATCTACAGGGACCCTATTAATCGAGTTTGGTGCAGACTCAGTGGACCCTTGAAGCTTCTTTGGCAATATCAGATGCGTTTCCATTATTCGGGGGCCCAATATATACCCAATACACTATGACCGTTGTGATAGGGATTCCCGGAAAAAGGACGTCAATTATCGGAAGCTTGAACAAAATAGATACTTATGCGATGACCTGAAGGCAAAACCCCCAAAACGGAGAAAGCCTAAATCCTCAAAGTGTGTAGGGTTTGCGGACTTCCTGCAAGAGTAGAAATTTGAGTCAACGAGGTTATGACCCACTTGAAATAGGTAGAACACATTGATGTAGATAACTCAGTTGACAAAGCCCCAAGAATAGGGCAACCCACAAAATGCTGCAATCCTCACCATGGGGACTCACAAAAAAGGACCCCCGCCCCGCCAATTGGTGGAAACCTGGTAAATCCCTAAACAGGTTGCAAACCTCGGCTTCATGATCGCCTTTACCCAGATGGCCGGGGATAGGGCTGAACCTCAGCCCAGCAGAGTGACTTTCCAGGGTTTCTGCTAAGGAACTTAGATTAAGTTATCATAATGGGTATATATAGTGATGAAAAAATTCCCCAATACACTTGCTTGAATTAAGTTCCTTAACAACCCAATTTCAGGCGGTTTGTTGGGGGGTTCATGACTGCCTTTCACATAAAAGCTATCGTTAAAGTGGTTGGCGGAGAGTGAGAGTGTTTTCGCAGTTCGGCGCCTAGTTTGGTCTTGCGCGCTGCCTTCATGATGACTAGCCACAAGCGGCTCAAAACAGAGCTTGTGATCTGCTAGGTGCAAAAGCAAGCTAAGCAATTTCACCGCTAGCACCCACCCTTTGGAACTTCACAGGCTAAGCTCCAAGCCCCTACGCTCCCAAGCTTGTTTGGGAAACGAAGGCTACGGTGGATAGTAAAGATCCTGCATGACCCGTGGTACCTCACACCATGGGAATTATGGTATTATGGTATACTGAGGTCGTGCAGGATTTTTAGCATCAACAGTAGTACCCCTTGGCCTGACTTTAAAGATGGCGAGCAAGGACTACGCTCTTGGAATTTCAAGCTCCCTCCCGGATCTCCATGAAGGCATGTTCGAGGCTGGCTCCTTTTTTTCCTGATGGCGGTGAGAGATGTTCAGGGTTAGGCACAGAGTAGCAAAATGGGTTTCAACAAAGAAGCTGGCTAGAGGCTCAACTTGACATATGACGGAAGCGGGGTTTGTTTGTAGTAAATGCAGCCTCTCATGGGCGGACGCATGTAATTCCGCGAGCAAGATCATGGCTCGGAACCCAGCAGTGCACTGATTGGGCACCCAAGCGTCTCCCGTCGCAGCTTTCACGTTGGAGATGCTGGATGGGTGCCTAACATTCTGCTCTTACTTTGCGCTTTTTGGCTCCAAGTCTTTCAGCGCATGGTAGTTTGAATCTGTGTACTTTCTCATCTCTCTGCTCTGCGAAAGATGCGAGCGGATTGTAGCATAGCGTTTGCAAAGTAGATGGCTGGGGCTGCGAAGCTGCTGCTTCTGACGCATTGCCCCCTGTTTGAGATATAGTCCCCCTTTAGTAGATAGAATATCGGGTTTAGGGGTCCCGCTTGAGTAGATAGAATATGGCTTTGGGTATATTATAATAAGATCCCCATTTACCCCATATTCTATCTACCTAAGGGTGACTATAGTCTAGTGTTTGAGGGTCCAAGTACCCCAAAGATGAGCACTTGGGATTTGGGTAACAGTAATCGTAGTACATGCTTTGGGGAAGTGAAGCATCGGTTCGGTTACCTGGACCAACAGGGAGTCACATGTGAGGCAAGGCTTTGCAAGTACAAACCGTTGCAGTCCTTGCTCTGGAAGGTAAGTGCAGGTAATGGTGTCCAGAGTTTAGGCAAGCGCGCACACAGCTGGTGCAAATCATCGGCATAGGACGTCATGCGAAATTCACAAACGTGGGCCTACCAAGTTGTAGCAGGCTCCACGTGGCACGCTCCAAATGCATGTTTCAATCCATTGTCCCCCTAAAGTAGATAATGGCTTTGGGAACATTATAGTAAGATCCCCATCTACCCGACATTCTATCTACTATTATCTACTTGAGGGGGACTATACTTGTGAAGTCAAGCACTACGCGCTGCCGAGGCCTGTCTATCCGCGCAGCCTGGGCTTCGCGACCGGCGCAGCAGACTCATCTACTCGCAGTGGAAGGCACCTTCATGAATGCTTTGAGTACTCGTGATGGGGGCAGGTTAGTAACCTCAAAATCCGAAGGTCTCAAAATTAATAAATATTGGGAGTCATGTTCTTGCCAAGAGTGTTGGGCTTGGAGGGGAGGTCCGAACTCCAGCTCCAAATCCTCCAGAATGAACTGTCAAAAGGCGTCAGCGCTAGAATCTGGAAAGCCTGCTCACATCCCCTGAATGCTTAGGTAGGTACATCTTTACGGGGTTCGCTTATCCTGCCTTATTGCAGCTTCGGTACGCATAGCAATAGCACGCCCCCCAAACAAGAATCTTTATAGGGCTTCATCCTTTTTTTGTGACAGGTCGTCCGGGTGGCCAAGACCGCAGTTTGGATTGGCCTCTCTTTCCAGAGTCTTGCGGAAGCGATGGCGTCATCAGTCTCAAGGCACGTTGTAGCCCAAAAAATCAACAAACTTGTCAGGACATGTTTAGTGTAGACTCCACATTAAATCTAGTGCTACCAGTGCTACCAAGCGATGAATCTTGTGTTGAAGCGATGAGTCTTGTGTTGAGGGCTTCATTAACGGGGAAGAGGAAGAAATAAGGCTGCAACCTCCAGGTTTTAGGTGCAGAAGTAAACCTAGCTGGATGTTTGTGAGCTTACGGACAATCCCAAACCAGGTGGGTACAGGCATGTCGCAATGAAAGGTTCGAGGTACTGCTGGTTTGGGAGCGGGGTTGCAAGGCAGGGGCTTTAGATTTTGTCAACATAAGGCGGTGTTTTCCTGATGGTGAGGTGTTCAGGTGTGAGCCCAGGCCTGAAAGCCACACTTTCCAAACGCAAGCATGTTGATCCTCCCTTAACTCGAGAGTCCCAAGATGATGAACTGAGAAAATCTGCAGGAGGGTGTGACGTACCGAACCAACGTGGGCAATCACAGCATTCCGGAGGACTGCAACGTGCCACGTGCTGCAGGGAGCAAGTCTTTCAGGAAGAAGCTGAACGTATGGCTTTTACTTGCGTGAGATGATCAGTCCGTGAAAATAGCTTGAGGGGGCAAGCGATGATTTCCACTCCGTGAGTGTTGACTTTACTGCCGCACGTCATTTGCACACATTTTGTTCCTGACACTATGTTATCCGCGAGTCTTAGCCTTTTTTTTTGTCGCCAGGATTTCCAGCAACAAAGCTCTTTTAGAAACTGTCAGATTACCATCTCTCGTAATGCTTTTCCCTTGCCGCCCTTAGGGCCCACCTGTTACACAGTTATTCGCTGGACTCTGCAATTACAAGAGCTGTTTCATGAAGTCCAGTAGCCCATTTCGGCACAAGCCCGTATACACGCTGCTTGACTTTTTCCTTGCCAAGGTGGTTAGAGGGGCAAGTGGAGCACGTGTCCTTCTATCTGGAAGCGTCGCATTCGCAAACACTGGCACGGTGTCAATCCATGGACCTTTGGAGGCGTCTTGGTGAGCAACATGCAGGAAAGGTAACATGCATGGAGGGCGCTGCATATGGGGCCATAGTACTCAGCAAGGCTGAGGGACTGCAGATTAACTTACGACTCAGATCAATTGAACGGCTATGGTGCAAAGTTGTGGCCGGGCTGGGCTTGGCAGGGTCTCACATGCATAATGTTTGGATGTTAATAATAAACCCCCCCTCCCCGCCCCCAGAACTTGTTTTGCCATTTTGGTTTACGGAAGGGGGGGGTCGCAATAGTAAATGACGGGGACATGGGTAGGACCAGGTAGTGCAGCCGTAATACTAGTAGGACAAGTAGAAGGGAATCTATTAAAATCGGGACGTTTCCGGCCGGACAATACTATTATTGCCACCCTTTATTATTGCGATTTGGACTTGTTTGTAAATTTTAGGGCCCCGAACTTGTTAAAAAATGAAGTTGATTGTTCGGGATTTTCCGGGCCGGCAACAAAACGCTACTGTCACTCCATTTATTAATGCTACCTAAACATTATAGGCTGATATTTGGGGCTCTTCAGGTTGCCTGGCTTGTAGGTATGTGCTGGAACCATGAGGGGTATGTATCCATGAAAAGAATCAGTGAGCTGCGCTGCGTGCCCTGGCCAGGTGACCATGTCACAGGGCGTCGACAAACTGACCTCTGCTGCCTTTCACAGTTCCGGAGATCTGCGTGTTGTGGCGCCACAAGGTGGCGCTGTCAAGTTCGAAGACATTGCAGCTGCAGGCTTCGGAGCAGCACTTGCTGCAGCACGCAGCATTTCGCTTGAAGGAGAGGGCACTATGCTATTTGAGAACTTGTGGAGCATGCAAGGCTCAGCGGCATGTTCACCCTCCTCAGACGTTACGAGCACTGTATTTCATCTGCACGTCCGAAACAGCGCAGCAGAAATTTCAGGGGGCGCATTTTATGCATTTGGCCGTGTCCATGTTAGCAGCGAAGGCACCGTGGTCTTCGAGAACTGCAGCTCAGGTTATCGTGGGGGCGCTATGGCGTCCCAAGCAGAGATGAAGCTGTCGGGAGCGGGATGTTTTGGCTTCTATAATTGCAACTCCACTGGAGATGTCTACGGTGGAGGAGCCGTTTCCGTCCTTGCAGCAGATATGGTGCTAGAGCTTGGAACCCAAGGGTCTGTCACTTTCAAGCAGTGCATTGCGCCCAGTTTAAACGATGGAGGGTCGGGCGGTGCCATATTCAGTGGGCGCAACATTAACATCAGCGGTGGCAGAGTCGAGTTCGAGAGCTGTCGTGCCGGATGTGCAAAAGGCCACGCGCTGGCTGCAGCTAGCGGCATTGCCCACATTAGTCAAGGAACACTAGTATCATTGCCTGGTATGGACAGCCTGGCCGATTCAATAGTTTATGCACGCATCGTTATTCTGCCAGTGGATAGCGGCATTGGCCCGAGGAATGTATTAGCAATGGGAGATATGCTGGCAGCGAAATCAAAAAGCCAAGGTAATGACACTTGTCCAGCAGGCTCCAGATTCAGTTTTGATGTGAGCACTGGTTTTCCCATCCCAGGCCAGTGTGAGTTGTGTGAAAGCGGCACGGTCTCGCTTGCTCCCTCAACCTTCGAACTTACAGATGAGGTTGCAGCTGAAGCTGGCGTGCCGCTTGTCCTCGTGAAGCGGACATCCCCAAACACGCTCTACAACTTTCCTGTGCTGAACAGGAATTAATCTGCTGAAGATCTTCGCAGTATGTGTGTTGATCCTCAATATTGCCCTAGCATTGTATATGGAGGTTGGGACAAAACTTTTTTTGGTACCAAGATGCTGTTCCTGGGCCATCGACCTGGACTGAGATTCACATATGCTGAAGGAGTGCTCAGGCCAGCTGCGCACTTCCTTTGTGCATGTCAAATGACTTGCCACTGCTGCCAAACCGTGATGTTGACTCTTCGTGCTGCCTAGCCGGGATTTGTTTCTTTTTGTCTTGCCTGCCCTCTTTTTGTTCAATTCACCTTTGATGTAGTGATGTAGTTGCGGTGCTCTGAGTGGACAGGGGCAAAGCTAAATGGGCTTAAACTTGGGTTTCTCAATTCATCCTGGGAGTTTGTGGTGGCGGCATACTTGTGGAGGCCGTGGCATGGGTCCTGGGCATGTAATGTTCACCTCATAATAAGAGACCCCATCCACCCCACCCCCCCGAGGATGTGGGCCCGAGGCTCTGTAATTAAGGGTATCCGGGCTCATGAGCCTCAAACTCCAGTCGTCGCCAACAGTAGCACCAGCCGGCAGTACACATTGCTCTTCCGGCGCTTCCAATTTTTTGCGTTTTGGCAGATTGGATTTTGCAATTGCCGGGAGGGGGGGGGGTTGTACCAGAAAACGACCAGCAGGTTTGATGATTTGCTGGGAGTTTCTTTTGCCAAGAGCTATGGTGGCCTAGACGTTCGCCATTGAAATCCTAGAGCGAACGCTTTTCTACCTAGTTCAATGCTGATCAGAGTTCTACATATCTGTTTAAAAACACACAAACACAAGAGGAGATCTATGATTCTAATTAGGTGTCCTTCAGATTTGCCTATACCGCTGCCTTTATGAAACCGTCGTAAAAATGCCAGTTGCATAAGAAGCAGACGAGATCCCCCCAGTCCATTTCCTTCAGAGTCACTTGTACAAAGCTCTTCAACAATGCAACCACATATAGGACATAAAGGAGATCCTTCATGCACTAATTGCCACCCCCTAATTCCCCCCAGAACCCCCCTAAATCATTGTTGATTGGGCACTGTTAAAAGTAGCCTTCTAGGAAATTAGATTCAATTCGGTTCTTGAAGGTTTGTTCTTGAGAGGTGGAGTATTCATGGAATGTAGCGATTAGCAAGTACTTTAGATATCATGGTCAAGAGGCGCCGTCAGCAGGCCAGATTTGTCGACATGCGAAACGGGGAGGAATTTCAGGTCCCTGGTTGAAGTCTTGCACTGTCCGGCTCGAGCTCCTGTCCACAACAAGCTAATGCAGCACTTTTCTTGCGCGCCCAAGTCAGGAGTGCAACATTGCTTTTTCTCAATGGAATCAGTGCAGAGGTTCTGCTTTTATGTTGTTTTGTTTTTTCGGTTTGCCGCCTCGTCGTTTCGCGCGTTCTTGCCTTCGAAATTATGTCTGGAACTTGCCTGTGTCTTCTGTTTCACAAGTCATTACACGCTGCAGCTGCAAAAGTGCCGGTGGTGTGGGCTGCCCGCCCAACTCCAAGACAATTCTCCTAACTCCCACGGCCAAGGACACAGGCGCAATACAAAGTATAGAGAACGGCCCTCAGCCAAGCCAACAGCCTGTTTGCCACAGCACGCCGTTGCGTGACAGCAACTTCCAGCCATAGGTCCCAGCCCTCACCCCCCAAGGGGTCATGATTGGCAAATCTTAATTGACTCTCGCAGAGACGAGTGATGCCTACGCAAATTCCGGAAGGAGTAAGTCACAAACAACAATAACAGAAAACAGGATGGGAAGCAATCCTTTTCTCAGAATGACGCCCGACAAAAAGGCCTAATGTAATGGGTAGCCAGCGGCAATGCTTGAGGTTTGTCAGGGATGACAGGCATCATGTTGAGGTCTATACTGTATGTTCAGCTACTTCCGCACGTGAGGCTGCAGGAAGTTGCCAGGTGTTGTAAGCAAATCCAGCATGTTTTCCTGCGTCTGGTGTACGTTGCAAGGTGTCCCTGCTGTTGCAGTTGAGACTCTTCCTCTTGCTTGCAGGTACATTTTTTGCTCACCAAGAAAGAGCAAACAGATTCACATGCTGTACAGCAGGTTTTAGATTCCGCTGCACATGGCCACCACGTCCAGGGGAGAAGCATTGCATGCACTTTGCATTTGTGTATGGCCACTGCTTTCAGGACCGATGATGGTCGACTTTTGGCAGTGCCTTACTCTTCGTTCTCCGTGAATATCCCACTCACCATTGTCAAGTCGTTGGATGATGTTACCGTGAAAAACAAGCGCGAGACAGTGAAGTTCAACATTGATGATCATGACGGCGCGATCAGTCCTGCACAAGCACCTGGTTTGGTCATTGGTATCGGTCATGAGGTGACTTACGCCTACCACCCCCACGACCCCTATTCTGCGTGCTTGCCTTGCCACAAGGTGGCGCTACAAGCAGCCAACAAAGTGCGATGCCTTGGAGCCACGGCGGCAGTCTCCCAGCCAGGCTACATGCTCCTGCACAGGCCAGGAGAGAGGAGGCTCCAAGTGCATGCGTGCCCAAACAGAGACGCGTGTCCCGGAAGCAACCTGAGTTTGACGGGAGAGGGCCGGACGTCGTCTCATAGCAAACTCTGTGCAGAAGGGTACAGACGCAGCCCAGGCTGCGTGCTCTGTGAGCATGGCTATGGCCGCCCGCAGCTCGACCCCTTTGTTTGCCGGCCATGCGGCAGCTTGTCCTTAACACAGCAGGCAGCCCTCGCCACGGTTTCCAGTGGCGTCTTCTACGCCATCGCATTGGCTTCAGCAAGGCCCAAGACCAACACGCAGCAAATCTTCAAGGTTTTCCTTTCCTTCCTGACCATTTCATGCCGCGGTCTCTCTGCACTGCCTTTCACTCTACATTTTGAGCAGCTAAAGCAAGACATGTATGCAACCGCGCGCTCCCTATCTCGTGGCTTCCTCATGCTCAATTTCATCATTAGCGCGGAGCCAGGAGCTGGGATTCACTCTCACGACTGCTGGGGGTTCACGGATGGCCCCGTGAACCTGTTCTGCGATTTCTCTCTGACCTGGGCAATCCCTTTAGGGTTGCTAGCTTTGTCTTTCTGCTGTATTGGATGGCAGAGTTGGTTGAAGGTGCTGCTGGTTTGGAGCAATGTCTTCATCCCAGTCCTAGCTGGGGCAGCGGCCAAGCTGATTCCCTGCTTCTCCACGCAGAAAGATGGAGATCGTGTACTCATGTATGAAGCTCCTTATGGCACACCCTGCGCATCCACAATGGCCACCGTGGCAAAGCTTCCCCGCTTTTGGTTGGCACTGGGGACCGGGTTGGTGCTGCTTCTGCTTGGTCCGATTTTGTGGCTGTCGCTTGTAAGGCAAGATGGAGCAAGGGACAAGACGACGGAACGCAAGGAGACCGTGGCCTTCCTGACAGCGGGTTACAAGCCGATGCTTTGTTGGTGGGAAATTACGGTCCTCAGCAGGAAGACAGCAGTTTTCGTTGTGGCGACTTGGTTTCCCATGTCTTGGGCACCCGAGATTCACTTGATCTATTTGCTCAGCATCGTGGCCGTTGCAGAGTTGCTTCATGCTACGGTTCAACCCTATGACAATGCGTCTCTCAATCGATTGGAGGCGCGAATGCTCGGAGTTTCCTCCTTATGCTTGCTGTTGGTAGCCTCCTTGTTGGCGAGGTGGCCCTACAGACCTTATGCCGTCTACCTTGCCACCCTCGTTCTGCTCCTTCTTCTGACGGCGGGTGCGTATGTCTATTTCCTCTGCCTCTACATGTATTTCACATTTACAAGGGAGCCGGAGACTGATGCAGCAGAGGAGGCCGAGGAAGCACAATAGGAAGCGGAATAAGCGCAATCAATGCCAGGCCAGGGATGTATGAATTGACATTTTTTGCTTTTGCAAAACAAACTCCCTTCGTAACAATATGATTAAGATGCCGTATAAGCGGGTACTTCAGCTTCAACACTTTCTAAGTTTCGACAGCATACAGTTTGCCAGTTCAAGGCCGAAAACAGAGCAGGCAATGCCGGCGTTGACTGAGCTGATAGGGCGACAACCCTGTATGAGCTGAACCGCACGCAGAATCATGGAAAAACAGCGTGTTCACTTGTATTTGATCTGCTGCCCGAGTTGGACCATGACAGCGATATTGTGTCAGTAGTGTGAGCCGCATCGCTTTCTCGTGAATTGCCCCGATGACTGGCATTGAGGAGTTCAAGTCCGAGGGCTTTAGGTTGGAGTACCCTTGCTAAAGACCAAGTCAAGTACTCTTTAGAAATCAGAGATTAAGATGAAACTCTGTGGATGCAAAGCCAGCAGCGTGCATGATCTGATTCATGTACGCTGCCGAAGAAAAATGTCAATGGGACACGGCAGTTTGTCCTAATTGTTGGGATTGCAGTATATTCCGTTAATAGGTGGGGGGTGATTGTTCGGAAGGATCCCTGTCAAGGTATCCCACCTATGCATCGGGGCATGAACTCTAATTCAACTGTTCCCTTCCTGAGAGTGCTACCCATCTCCATGAGCGCCGCTTGTAGTTCGGGCCGTGGTTCCTCTGAGTGAGTATCACAAATGCTATAATACCATCCTCATGCTTGTTCTTCAAGTTAGGCCAGATAGGCAAGCTCCCGACACTTTCTTCTGGTCCTTTATCCTGTACTTCCAGCATCATACCTAGTTAAAGTTGTATTAATGTTGTCCCAAAGCTGGGAGGCCTCGGAGGCAATCTTCTTTGCGATCTACTGTCTGGATGTCCTGGTTCCTCGACGGGTTTCTTTCTGAAATTTTTGGTTTCGCCTCGACACTGCACGAAGGCATCTTGTTGGGCCAGGCAGTCGGAGAGCGCAAGGCTTTTACCGGGATGAGAATGTCGGGCCCTCCTTAACACAAGTCTAAAGGCCTGACCCGCTTCAGAAAAGAAGGTGCGTTGTTTTCACAAATGCGTAGTACTTTATTTGGGGATACTAGAATACCCAATACAGAGTAAGATTATATCCTCCTGTTGGGGTATAGTATTTGATATAGGGAATATTATCTTACTGGGTTTAACCACCAAAAAAACACTACTCAAATGCCTTCTGTGCGATTCCGCGTACAGCCAAGGTGAGAGTGGTGGTTCTGGGGCGGGAGTGGTACTACGACCCATTGGAGGGCGTCACTGTGTTGCAGTTTGGAAGCTCAGAAACTCAAGGGTTGCTATGATTCTTAGGATAGTTCATGCGAAGTGGTACGTAATGCGGGTACATATGACGATTCTTTCCCAAAAGTTCTGCTTTTCAAGTTGATGGCAGTTGAAGATTTTTCTGTAGCTAGGCCGCGCTATTTCTTCCAGAGTGACCAGCCGTGGAGAGGATGTTTTGTCAACAGGTAGACACAACACTTGTTGAAATGTGAGTTTCCCAACATCGAGACTGCCTTTTGGGAGTCCATGTCGGGAAGCTTTAGTTTAGGGCCTCCCAAAGACGGAATGCTAACTTCCGATGTTAGCCCAATTTGGGAAATCCTTTTGCAGTTGGTTAGCCTTTGGATCCCTGAAGGGCTCTCTTGCTCGCTATCGCAGAGCCTGCCTGAACAGAGCCCGTGAAAAGCGCTCAATACGGCATGTGTTCTGCATCGTGGCTTGGAGAGACACGTGTTAGACTGCTACTCAACGGGCACTGTTATCATCACACGACAATGATGGTTTTGGTTGCCAGTACTGCCCTGTGCGCTCTCAGCATGTACACATTGGCATCAGCATCGCGCAACAGTGATAATTTCATCTAGGTTTGTCCTCATCTTTACTGTCTTTGCCAGTACTCAACCAGCTCCGAAACCATAACATCCAGTTAACCCCGAGGTCATGATCATGAATATTTTCGACTTGGTCCTCGTGATCGTCAACGGATTCGAGGTCATCCTCCTTCCCACGCGCTTTGCTTGCATCAGCCGCGTCCGCGCTAAGGGGAAAGCATGTGGGATCCTGGTAGGGTCTGGTCTTGCGGTTGCCCTGAAACCCCGTCTTTGCGGTGTGCTGTTGCGCCATGGCCACTCATAGCTTGCAAGATCCGTGCTTGTAGGAGCACGAGCACTGGATCCCAACTGCATCTGTCTCAAGATTTGGGTTTATTCCTCCGTGCCAACCCAGGCAATTTCCTCCATTTGAAAGAACCCCCGCCCTGTGTGAAACAGAGCACAGACTAGTAGGGAATGAGGGAATTCAATCCCTACACAAATTATATAAACCTCACAAAATATATTCCGTTATTCCCTAGTAGACCCCAGTAAGTTCAGGATAATATCCGGAGGTGACAGCGCGCCCTGGCCAGATTGGAATCATACGACAGGTTGTGCTGTCGAGCAACTGTTGGATTGTCAGGTTGATCTGTATGCGCTTTTCAGGAGAAACCCTGGGCTTTTCTTTGGCAAGCAGCTTTGTTTCTGCAGGTCGAATGGTATGTTGATTCCTCAGGGCTTTCGGGATTTGAAACAGATTGTCCGAGCAACATAAGTTCCTAAAGCCTAAGCAGGGCCCAGTGCTCAGATTTCAGAAGCCAAAAAGAACCTGTGCTTGGAAGGCTTCCTTCACCGTCAGTCAACAAGTTTTACTTACTGGAACTTCATCCCTATTCCCTACTAACCACCAGCACGTCAATCAGCAAGTTATATGACTTTGTGTCATGGCTCCGCCCGAGACCAAAGTACCCGTAGCCTGATCAACTTGCTTGAGCAGGTGCATACAAGCAGGGTAACGTGAAGGTATGGTTTCCAATCCTAATCCTACATTCTAGTAGATTTCAACTTGGTCAGGAGAGCGCCAGTAGCATCCGGGTGCTCAAGCTTGTTCGGATCGTGCGCACGCTTCGGATCGTCAAGACAGCGACCTGGACCAACAGTTTGTCTATGCGCTTTCGAGGCTTGAGCTCAAGATTTTGATTTTCCAGGTAGCCTGAACCCCTGCTGATGATCGCTGACATGCCCTTTCTACAGCCGATGTTGAAGGCCAACACAACTGGAGGCAAGATGAAACGTGCATGGCATTTGGCTGTGGTGCGTTTTCCGGCGGAGCGAGCCTCTGAAGATTGATCAAACAATTCAGGGCAGTGCGTGTACATCGCAAACGCTGTCATCCAAATTGTGACAACCATCCATTACTTGCAGAAGAGCCCAGATCGTGACACCAATTTTAAGCAGCAGTCAGTCGGTAAACATGCATGGGAAGTATGAAGGACGTTTACAGAGATTCTGTTTTCAGGACTATACTGTAAGGATTTCAACTTCATTCGGCTTAAGCTCCGGGTCAGGCGCGTAAATATTTATATCCATACATGTAATGGCATATTTAATTACATCTGCATTGAAGCCCTAGAAAGGCTGCTTGATCTCTTGAGCGTCTGTGTGCGTCCTGATGACAGGAACTCCCAGCAAGCAACCTCCCCATTTGGACCCTTAAAGGGGTTATATCAGGGATTATTTAGGGGACCGCTAGGGGGTTATTAAGGGGGATACTTGGAGTTTAGACTATGGCTCATGTAAGTCCTTCTTATTCCGTACCCTTCCTAGGTCCTAGGTGTCGGCAATAGCCCGAGGTGATGCCTCGCGGTACTTCAAGGACCTCAGCATCTGACTTCGTTGAACCTTATAAGCCCTAAACCACGACCTATACATCCCAAACCGCGACTATTAATCCCTAGACTCCCTGAGCCGCCTGAAGCCCGTTGAATGCAGGCATGGCCTATCTGGTGCTCATGTAGAGATGCAAACCCTGAACTCCATTTTTGGGAAGTCCCTTTGTAATCAAAAGAGTGAATCATACTTACGCCAGAACACGCTCCTAAGTTTTACAAAGCCCTACCATGGCCTGCAAACCGCTGTAAAGTTAAAGACATCACTGAGGTGAACATGTTTCGGCAGCTTCGGCTATTAGTTGGTACCTGCGTGGCGAGCATCGGGGCTCTGTTCTGGTCGATGGTGGCTGAGCTGCGCTGGCACTTTGCGGCGGTTGTGCAGTTGCGAGAACTTCCATTTGTAAAGCCTTGACCTTGCTGCATCCTATAACCTATATGTTTAGTCAATTCTGAGTCCAATGTCGCCTGAAGAGAAATAGCGGCTAGTTCAGGACCGCAAATACCATGGATAGATATGACCCTCGGTACGTGTATGCCGGCCGAAGTTTATGAGGATGACCGGCGTACATGTGAATTAGTGCAGGGCGCGTCAGTTGAGATAGTGGGGGTTTCATTATCATTTAGACCCTGGATTCATTAGCCCGGGTCGAAGGGCTGTGATCCACGCAGGGTTTGACCCAATAAGTCCTACAGGTCAATGTGGCTTGCATGTGGCCGCTTGACAAGAGAAATGGGATCTCCTTGCAGGCCTTGCTCAAGTTGACCAGGAACACGAAGAAGCAAAACTTGGGGCCCAAATGTCTGCTGTGGTAAGGAACAGAATTCAGACCCACAAGCTTGAAAAGCCCGTTGAAGGCATGTGCCTGTGTTAAGGCAAAGCTCTTACATCGCATGTGATGATAATCTCATAGGTTTCCTCCCAACAACCACTGAACAAGGCTATTTGCTTATTCCACTCGCCAGCTTAGAGTCTTAAACCCATATTGACAGCTGGGGGGTTACCCACAGTAAGGACTATTACATATTGGTGTCTACATGAGGGCCGCCCCCATTCATGGAAGCCCCCACTCACTTGAGGAGCCTCTGATTCTTGAGCTGTTGGGTAGCTGGGTAGGTAAACCTTTAGGGTTCTAAGTTTTGCTGGTACTATGATATGGTTGCCTCTTTGGGGGGTCAGGGAACTCGGCAGAGAGGTGGAAGAATGAAAGAATTGTAGCACGGGGACTCGCATTACGCGATAGAATTGTTGATTACTACGCCTTCTTCATGGTGCTGTGCTTTGGCGGGGTAGTGATTCCGGGCTCCTAGGAGGAAAGTGATGCGTCTCGAATGAGCAGCCTCAAATCCTAAACCTAAACCCACCCTAGAGCATGGAATCGGGGGGCCTAAGAAGCTAAGCTGCGGGAAGGTGCTCCTGTGCTTGTTCAAGTTGGGCTTCGCGCTGGTAATTTGCCAAGCTTTGCAAGGTCCCTTTGAGTAAGCTGTCGGGGGTGTTTCAGCAGGTGGGGTTCAGGGTGTGGAGATGATGGTGAAGACGCTCTGTTGCAGTGCACGAGCACGTCCAGCTTTCCTTGCCTGTAGGTGAGATCCGTCTCTCAATTCTTCTTTCTTCTGGTAGCCTACTGTCCGAGTGGTTGTTACGATGCAGTCAGAGGTTGTATTGCTAGCAATTTGGTCGGCAGATGCGAGGTAGTGTAGGTGCAGCTGCGGCTGGATTAGTTTCAGACTTTGGCTTTGTGTCTTAAGGGTCACGTGCTTGAGTGAACAAAGGTTGGGGCCTTGGGTTGAAGGATCGAAGACAGATGGAACTTGTATGATCAATGGCCCGACCTCCCCCTCACCCCCCAATGATTCCCAATGGTATGGGGCTGGCATAAGGTCCCTGATTGCCGCCATGGAGCATCAAGACCTGCTGTTGCTGAGATGATTCAGATTCCGATTTCCCTCGCACCCCGCCCCCGCCTGTGGTGTGGTGGGCTTTCTTAAACCCTAAACCCTATATAACCCATTATAGGAGTTTCCATTTTCTTTCCCATTATCCCCATATAACCCCCCAAAATGTCAGCTCATTCAGATCTTTGCCTCTCCCCCTCTGTGTGGTGAGTGTTCTTTCTCCCAAAGCTGTCAGCATTCTTTTTTGCTGAAAACATTCAGACCCTCTCCGTCCTCCCCTGTGGTGTCGGTGGTTGTCTTACCTACTCTTACTTGAATAACTGTCATCATTTTGTGCTGAACTCATTCAAATATTGCCCTTCCTTTTATGATGTGCGTGGTTTTCCTCCTCGCGATTGACTGTCACCCTGCAGCAACGAACTGTTCTTTTGGTGGAAGCAACACTGATGTGGAATTGTGTGGAGCCTTTAGCAATTCAGTGTTGAGCTTTTGTTCAGGTCTGTCAGATCTTTCCCCTTGCCCTCCTATGGGGTTGGTGGTTTCTGATTTCCCCCTGTGGAATGGGTGGTGAGCACCATTGCTGTGACCTGGACACCCATCATCCTGGTGACTGTTGGCTGTTGGCACTTTTGAGATCTGCAGCATCAAAAGACGATGACAGTTGCACGGGTCGTGACGAGTCTTCTGACTGCTGGCATTTTTTGAGATCCTCAACATAAAGACGATGACAGTCACGAGGATCTTGACCAAAGCACCCACTATCCTTGTGGCTGTTGGGGTTTTCAAGATTTGGGGCATCAAAAACGACGACCGTCACGAGAATGGCGTCTCCGAAGACTCACAATTACCAGTATCGTGAGCCGAACACCCACCGTCCTTGTGACTGTTCACAGTTTTGAAAGGCCTGGGCTGGGGCTCATGGGGGCAGGTCTAAGGGTAGGACCATGGGGACCGGGATCATACATAGGCACAGGGCTTCTGATTTGGAGGAACTCCCATGAGAAAGTATTTGACATTGCCAGGCTACATCATGGATGAAGCTCAACCCCTGGCAACGCGTCACGAGATGAACAACCTTTACGGCAACTTCCTGAAAGCACTCTACACCATGTTCGAGCCTAGGCTGTGCTCAAAGGCTTTCAGGGACAATGGGGCTGCAACCATGTATATAATCCCTATAATCCCCATGGCTTCCATTTTCTTGTCCATTAGCCCTATATAACCCTATATAACCCCGTTGTACATTCTAGCAGGATGCGCTCCAAAGAAGCTACAGCTGGGTATTTCTCAGAATTTGAGCTCGTTAGATTCCAAACGAGGTGACATTTTTCCTATGGCCCCTCACAAGAATACCTCGGGGATACAGTGGTCCCCAGAGAGAGAAAGATCAACCATACCCTTATACAGACTATGTAACCCTGTATACTATACCCATCCAGTTACCACCCCGAATAATCCCAAGGAGATCACCCACAGCGGATCTTGGCCTGCGAAAGTACGTCCAGTTATTGAGAAAGTGAGCCCCTGGTACGCCCCACTCTTCCTGGGCTACATTGCACTGGTGCCTGAGCTGTATTATTGTCATTCTTACCATTCTTGCTGTTTTTGTTGTTGCATTTCATTGTCTCTTATTTGGGTGTGGGGTTTAGGCTCTGGGGCGGGGCTTAGGGTTTAGTGGGGCTGGTGTGGGGGTGTTGGGGACAGGCGTTTGTTCACAGGAGTCTCGTGCTGAGCGCTTTGGCTATTCACAGAAGGTCCATGTGAGTTTAGGCTCGACATAGATTAGATTCTGATATGCCTCATTTTACCTGCAAACATCTAGGTTCTCGTCAGAGCCCTTCGAAGAGTTATGCAGGACCGACAACTAACCGCGACTACCGCCCTGAGTTAGAGCCTGGATGCCCTCCCCTTTCGGAACGCGCTCTCAACGTAATTAAGGCTGAGCCCACAGGGAGAGGACTTGCAAGGGCAAGGAAGAAGCCAAAGCCCGCAGCTCCACAACCCGACGCCCAAAACCCATCCCAGGTGGTGTTCGCTGTGATCAGAGTAGTGACAGCGCTCTTCTTGCAAGCATCTTGGTTTCCAATTTCCTTGATGTGGCTGTTTGGGAACGGAAGTTCCCTTACCCTGAAACTGTGGTTGTGTTCAGGTATCGTATAACGGACCAAGACTTCCCCCATGTGAGCTATGCTTCGAACTGAATGTGGTTTGTATGATTTCAGAAGCTGAAGTCTTCTGGCTTGTTGTTAACGACTTTAGATTAAGCTACCATCATGGGTAAATACATATATATATATATATCTGTAGAGTGATGAATTCATATGGTTCCCCCCATCAAAGTGCCTTCAGTTAAACTCCATAGCAGCGGCCTAGTCTTCCAAGAACATTTTTCATGTTTTATCCATCCCATTCATTTTCAATTCAAGCTAAGAGGAACCGTCAACCCGGAGGGCCTGCGCAAGCTTGCCCCACAGCTTATATTCTACGGTATTATAGTATACTCTAGTCTACTATAACATCTTATATACTATCTTATAGAATTTATAGTGTGCTGGACTTAAGATGCCTTAGGGTATCTGCTTCTCTGGTTCCCCTCGTAATTTTCACGTCGCTGCCTCGTCGATCTATGGGGAACGACTCCGCAAGGAGACCTTAGCAAATGCCGCGAATGACGCGGACATGATACTGGAGAACAGCCGGCGCTTAGCCAAAGACTATCAAGACAAGTTGGAGGAGCTGTTCCGTGCGGCGGACACTCCTGGTTGAATTAGCAAGAATTGAAAGCTTTGTCTTGTCCATGGCAGTATTCCGATTCTGAAAGCAGTCTTGCGGCGGGTTTGCAGTTTTTACAGCGAATCTGGCGCCTCCTTTGTTAGAGACCCTCTGCCAAGCGTCCTAGCACTGCGACATTCGACTTTGGTTTGGTGAGCGGCACAGAATCCAAGGCGATTACAGCAGGGGAGTTGCCATGTAGGAGCCTCAGCCCTCATATAATTCCGCACGATCCCTATACACCCCATATGCCCCATATATCCCTCGATCCTAACAGAACCAAGGACAATGATGGGGATGGAAGCCTGACGCCAGAGGAGTTTGTAGATGCCCTGAGCATCCCGGGGGTCCAGCGCTACATGGGCTGCATTTAAGACTTGGAGGGTTCCTAAAAATCATGGGTTTTGGGTTTAGGGTTATTTAGGGCCTTTGGGTTTCCAACAATTATGGGTTTAGGGTTTATTTAAAACCTGGGGGTTTCCAAAATCACAGGTATCATTCTGGAGGCACCGTCTCTTCAGATTGTAGTATTTTGCTCTCTGTATTGGGGGCACCCCGGCGTATGCAAAAACATGCCATCTAGGTGTTGGAGTGTTTTTGTGGTCCCATGGCTTTGGAACTAATTATAACAAAGATAAGAAGTATTACGATAATATAAAAATACCAATAATAGTGACATCATGTATCCATTGGCCACCCGGTAACTGTCCTTAAAGGGGGCCTCATTAAGGGGCTAGTATAACTCCTATTACCCCTTGTGGTAACTGTTATTGTAGGCGGGGGAATAACCCTATGTATTGTTTGGCAAGAAGGCCCCCATGGCTACTGGGATGTCTCCACTGGCATTCCACGGTGTGGTTTCAGTCCTAAGAGATACGAAACATGCAACACGAACGAATGGACGAAGGGCATGGCAAGTAGTAATATATAACTGTGATATCGGACATATCAGTACTTAATTACTTAATAGCAATACTATAAGTCTTAGCAAGAAAACAGGAACATATACGACTAGTAAAAAGTAATGAGAAGGACAATACGACTAGCTTTGGGCTTGTTGTAACAATAGTACGACCTCTTCATGTACAAGGGCGCCCCCTTCCCAGAATAACACGCAAGGAGCAAAAAGTCCAGTTCCGCAGAAGAAGAGCTAGTGTTTCAAGTGGAAATGCCTCAAGCTCTTCGGGATTTCAGACTAAACCGTATAAACAACCTTTAAACTTAACTGCTACAGCTAAACACTACCTTTAAATTAAAGTAGTCTTTGACCCCTAGTCTGGCCCCCAAACTTGCGATAAGTCTAGGTGGGTGGGTACCATTAATCGAGAGCTCGGATTAGTTGTAGCCAGGCCTGCTATTAAACCAAGTCAACTGGCCACGTCGCTGAGTTGACGTCTCTACGGTTTCCCTGCAAATCCAAACAGCCGACTTTACGGCCCAATGTAGGTATGACTTACACACCTGGATCCCTAGGGTTTGTTGAGATGGGCAGACTGCTAGGAGTGAAGTGGCAGTAATGATGTTGACTTACGACTGCGAAAGCACATCTTTGCAGTGTTCATTCGAAAGCTGGCCTCATCTCGAAGCATGCCAAGCAGGAAAGCCTAAACCCTAAACCGGTGAGTGCTGTTTGGTCTGATTTCGGAAGCTTAGTCTTACTGGGGGTTAGTAAGGACTATTGCCTTACATTCCTTTATTCCCTGTACTAAGAACCAATAAGTAGTCTGCAGTCCCAGAGACAACACGTGCTGCACGTTTCAGGCTATTTGACTATGCTGGATGTGCGAGTGGCAGATTGCCGTCCGCTATTCGACATCCTCGACGACGGAGACCAAGCAAGTTTGAACACTAATTTAGGGTGTAGGGTTTAGTGTTTTTGTTTTCTTCTCGTACCCAGCACGCCATCATATAGTGAGAGGCGATAGGAGCAAGGAGGCAGGCTTGTTTCTTAGGAGACAATGCTTTGATTCGAGGAGATGGTCACATCACCATTGCAGAATTCTGCAAAGGACTGATGCAGCTCAAAGGCCAAGCCCGTGCTTTGGATATTGTCATGCTCGCACGGGAGAATGCCAAAGTGCTTCGAGAATGTCAAGATATTCGCAAGGCGGTCGAGCCTTTGGAGAAGTCTTTGTAAATCTGTTTCTGAAGAACCTCAAGGCGAGGGTCTCCCAATACGGTTTGGGGTTTAGGGTTTAGGGCAATCATAGAGCCCCCAGCACGTTATATAAGACAGCTACCCTTGTGAACAGGGTCCAGGGTAAATGGTGGAACCTAGTCTCTGAGACCCGCGCGTCCGAGTTGTACCTGAAACAAAGCTTGGGCATGAGGGTTTCCATACCTTAGGAGTGCCTTAGCGCTTGTATTTTATGTGGATACCGTAGAGTAAGGATTGTAGCTGATTGTAGTAGAGTGGGCTCTATATAGGGGGTTATAGTATTTTAGGGCTATTGGGGTCCAGAGTAAGGATTGTTATAGTACTTCGGAGTCTATATCGGGGTGGCGCCCCCCATACTCATGGAAACCTCAAAATACACCGTAATATACTATAACATATCATATGTTGTACTATACTACAATCAATTATGGTGACTATTGCCTATTTATGGAAACCTTCAGCATCTCAAAGAGAGCCCGAGCTTCAGGTCTGTAGCCTTTTTGGCAGTGCCATTTGCATATGAGCTGCCGATGTTATGAGGGTTTTGTATTTAAGGGTTTAGAGTTTAGGGTCGAGGGTTTCGCATATCTTGGAACCTAGAGACCTAGAGCTAAGCAGCAAGGAAAATAAACATATTATGTATATATATATATACATGTATCCCTCCCCGCCCCTAGACAGTTCAAGATCACTACCCCTCCAATATTTGATATTGCCATTGTGGTATATATTAAGCATTCGGCGGGTGGCGCTTAATATCTGGGGAGGGGGTTCCAAGTACTAATAGTAGCAGCAAAGGTGTTTACACTTATCCTTGTCCTGCTCAAGATTAAGCATCTCTGTTCCTAAAACGGTTAAAGAGTTAGCCAGCTAGTGTTGAATTTCTTGCGTAGGTACAAAGCATTACACATGCAAGTTCAGATTTCTGGTAGCTTCGTTGAACATCGTGACACTTCAGCCTGTGTGTCGCTGAAGCAGGCAAAGCTTGCTCGCAGCAAGTCACAGGTTGGGCCCCCCAACAATGCAAGGGCCAGCCAGGTCCCAGGTAAATTATCAATTACCCATGCTCCCCTAGGTTCCCCCTTTCTTTCCCTAAGTCCAGGGGAACCTGGAGGGGTTTTATAGAGGGGGGAGGTGGCACGTGAACCCATAATATCCCATGATGCATGTGAAGGCTAACATCTCTTTGAACGCAAGGGACTTAGAGGCCGGCTCTTGTGCTCAAACGTGCTCGAAACCCATTGCGGCTCGGGCAAAAGCAAGATTCCAGAGGGAGGGTCATCACGGGAAGTAGGTGTTTTTCTTATGCATTTGGGGGGTGTATATAGGGGTTCATAGGTGAGCGTATATAGTGGATGTTTTCATTGGGGGGGGGGGGGGGA